AGAGGCCAGTGACTTCCACAGTTTGAATGGAGAGCTGGTTTCCTGACTTATTCACCTGGTCTTTTATCTTGTATTCATATTGTGAGCTCCTCCCTCAGGCAGTTCCACTGATTCACTTTCTCCTCGGTATCGATGGGAAACTGGACTGACTCAGATTTCGATAGTAGGAACTGCAGATGCTGGACATTTCAGAAATGTCGCTTCAGAAAAGCCTTTTAAGCAGCAGCAGCGAGAGAGGAAAGGGAAAGAGTTCTTGCAGCGACCAAGCGTCAATACATTGTGAGGGGGAAAGGGCGCACGTTTTATTTTGTCTTGCTTTTTAAAACAATCATGAAAACGAGCAGCTGGACTTTATAAATTGTATTAAACCAGAACAACTGGATTAAATTTGGGAGAAATATTAAATCAAAAGTGACAACTAAAATACGCTGGAATAATGTGTTTCTCTTAAAGTGGTCACGTTGGCCGCGTAATATATAGAACCCAGTCCCCAGAACTGACCGTGTTACAGAATTGGGAGGCGGATAGAAGAGGGATGGAGGAGAGGATAGGTGGAGAAGAAACAAACAGGTCGAAGAGGCGGGGATGGGGCCAGGAAAGGTGAGTGTAGGTAGGGAGTTAGGAAGGGGATAGGTCAGTCCAGGGAGGACGGACAGGTCAAGGGGGCGGGATGAGGTAGGTCGGTAGGAGATGGAGGTGCGGCTTGAGGTGGGAGGAGGGGATAGGTGGGAGGAAGAACAGGTTAGGGAGGCAGGGACGAGCTGGACTGGTTTTGGGATGCGGTGGGGGGAGGGGAGATTTTGAAACTTGTGAAATCCACATTGATACCATTGGGCTGCAGGGTTCCCAAGCGGAATATGAGTTGCTGTTCCTGCAACCTTCGGGTGGCATCGTTGTGGCACTGCAGGAGGCCCAGGATGGACATGTCGTCTGAGGAATGGGAGGGGGAGTTGAAATGGTTCGCGACTGGGAGCCCACCTTTATCTGCTTTCCGGAGGGACAACTCTCTCCGTGACTCCCTCGTCCGCTCCACACTCCCCTCCAGCTCCACCACACCCGGCACTTTTCCCTGCAACCGCAGGAAGTGCTACACCTGCCCCCATACCTCCTCCCTCACCCCCATCCCAGGCCCCAAGAAGACTTTCCACATCAAGCAGATGTTCACCTGCACATCTGCCAATGTGGTATACTGCATCCGCTGTACCCGGTGTGGCTTCCTCTACATCGGGGAAACCAAGCGGAGACTCGGGGACCGCTTTGCAGAACACCTACGCTCGGTTCGCAACAAACAACTGCACCTCCCAGTCGCGAACCATTTCAACTCCCCTTCCCATTCCTCAGACGACATGTCCATCCTGGGCCTCCTGCAGTGCCACAACGATGCCACCCGAAGGTTGCAGGAACAGCAACTCATATTCCGCTTGGGAACCCTGCAGCCCAATGGTATCAATGTGGATTTCACAAGTTTCAAAATCTCCCCTCCCCCCACCGCATCCCAAAACCAGTCCAGCTCGTCCCTGCCTCCCTAACCTGTTCTTCCTCCCACCTATCCCCTCCTCCCACCTCAAGCCGCACCTCCATCTCCTACCGACTAACCTCATCCCGCCCCCTTGACCTGTCCGTCCTCCCTGGACTGACCTATCCCCTTCCTAACTCCCTACCTACACTCACCTTTCCTGGCCCCATCCCCGCCTCTTCGACCTGTTTGTTTCTTCTCCACCTATCCTCTCCTCCATCCCTCTTCTATCCGCCTCCCACTCTCTCCCTATTTATTTCAAAACCCCCTTCCCCTCCCCCTTTTCTGATGAAGGGTCTAGGCCCGAAACGTCAGCCTCTCTGCTCCTATGATGCTGCTTGGCCTGCTGTGTTCATCCAGCCTTGCACCTTGTTGTCTCGGATTCTCCAGCATCTGCAGTTCCTACTATCTCTGATTCGTGTTACAGAATTACCTCTTCATCAACACTGTGACTCAGTTTACAGTGACTGCAGTTAAAACGATCATTACCTCCCTTACATTTTATTGCTTAAGTTGGATTTGGGTTTTTAATTTTTAAAAAAAATTCACATTAACTTTCAGAATTCCAGAATTGTCTGAAGATTCTAATTAAACTGGGAATGTCTTAGGAAGCAGTGAGATAGCAAGAACTGCAGATGCTGGAGTCAAAGACAACAAAGGAAAAGGGTCCGGACCCTTTCCTGCTCCTCTGATGCTGCCTGGCCTGCTGTGTTCCTCCAGCTCCACACTTTATGTCTTAGGAAGTGCTGACTTTAGTTTATTAGCACGAGGGTTTCATAGAATCCCTACAGTGTGGAAGCAGGCCATTCGGCCCATTGATTTCACACCACCCCTCCAGACATCATCCCACCCACACCATGCGGGGGACAATTTCAAAGTTTGCAAATGGCACAAAACTTGGAACAATTGCAAACTGAGGAGTACAGCGTTATGCTTCAGAGGAAACTTATCAAACATTGATAAGTTGAATGAATGGAGGTGAACTGCTCAGTTGTACTTGAACTGAGTGGATGTTTGAGCCGAGGCAGAATAGTAAAGAAGTCCAGGTTTCACAAAACACTTTGAGATGCAACTGGCATCGACAATAGCAAGTTATTGGTGAAGTCGGAGTGGGAGAGAAAGAAATGAAGTCTAAACCAGGGTTACTGTGCATGTATGTGAATGCACAGAGTGTAATGAATAAGGCTGGGGCATCGCAGTCACAGATTGCAGTTTGCAAGTGTGAGGTGATGCAATTTGTTTGGAAGAACATAAAATAAAGGTATGATTGTTAACAAGGTACAAGAGTTGAGGGACCTGGTTGTATAATGTGGCAGATCATTGAAGGTGGCAGGACAGGTGGAGAGAGCGTGTAGGTGAAGCATACAGAGTCTTTGGCTTTATTAATATGGGCATAGGCCACGACAGCAAGAAGGTGATGTCATACTCCTATGAGACATTTGTTAGACCCCAGCTGGAGTACGGTGTACAATTCCAGGCGCCACATTGTAGGAAAGATGTGAACGCACTGGAGATAGTGCAGAAGCAATTTACAAGAATGGTTCAAGGAATGAGAAACATTCAGTTATGAGGATAGATTGAAGAAGTTGGAACTGTTCTCCATATTTCTATGGTCTTAGAAGGGGGTTGAGAGGATTGGATTGTGGTTTTTGATATCATGAGTGGGCTGGATAGAATACATAGTGAGAAACTGTTCCCACTAGTAAAAGTAAAAGGAATAGTGGAGCAGGTTGAATTGAGACCTTCAAGAGGGGCATTGGGTGGTTATTTGGATAGAAATGGTGAGCAAGAGTGGAAAAAGGGGTCAAAGGAGTTAAATTTCCAGTCCAATGATTCTTCTTCAGAATTATTTCTCGATTCCACTTCTGAAGTAGGGTCACTGGACTGGAACTGTTAACATTACTTTCTCTCCACAGATACTGTCAGACCTTGCTGAGTTTCACCAGCAATTTCTGTTCTTTTTGTTTCAGAACTCCAGCATTCACAGTTTTATTTTGGGGGTAAAGGAGGTTGGAGTTAGGTAATGAATGGGACTGGAATAGTTTAGGATATCTGGTCTGCGTGGACGAATTGGACCGATGGATCTGTTTCCCTGTTGCACAACTCAATGATGCTCATTCAACGTGTCGCATCAGGAACGATGGGCCGAATGGCCCCATTCCGCGCAATCCTGTGAACTGATCGGCTGTCCAGCCCAAACTGACAAGGCGTGTGAAACCTTTTGAAAGTTCTGATCTGTGAAGGTTCATAGACACAGGCCCTGTCCACAGTCACTGGGCGCTGTCTCCAAACATATTACACGGGTGAAAACGTCGGTATTTCTAACAAATCACTACAGTTTACATCGTGAGGGAAATACAACAGTAAACAGGGAGGGGAGAATCAAACAAAAAACACAGACAAGTTACTCAGGATTTTCCAAAACTGCAGACGAGGGTGTCCCTGTTCTGTGGGTGTGTGTGGGCATGAGTGTGTCTGTGTGTGTGGGTCTGTGTGTAGGTGTGTGTGTTGGGGTGTATGTATGGGTTTGTGTGTGTGTGCGTGGATCTGTGTGTCTGGGGGTGTGTGGTGGTGTGTGTGTGGATCTGTGTAGGCGGGTGTGTGGATCTGTGTGTGGGGGCGTATGTGTGGATATGTGTGGTGTGTGGGTTTGTGTGTGTGGGTCTGTGTGTGGATGTGTGTGGGTCTGTGGTGTGTGTGGGTGTGTGTGGG